ACTATTCTAAACCTAATCTACATAACCCTTTTTTACTACTATAAGCCTGAAGAGTAACTATTTTCGAGGGTATTTCAATTGTGATCTCTGAGGCTATTGTTTGGATTTTAAAGAATGAGGAGTCATTGGATTCCTATTACGCCACAGAATATGCACTTGAGCAAAGATATAATTACAAGTAAAAAAATAATTACTATTAATAAAATTTCCTATGAGAAACACAAAATCATTCAGGGTTCAGTTTAGTCTTATCTTACTAATATTAGAAATGCGAATGTTTAGATGGATGGACGAATGTTTGTTTGAAAGTATTACCGAAGCGGCTGAACGGATCTCGCATAAATTTGGCATGGATGTAGAAAATAGTTTGGCAGAACACATAGGCTACTTATTATGTTTTTTTTAAAATTCCGCGCAGACGGAGTCGCGGGTGATAGCTAGTAATAAATACTATGTCTACGAACTACCTCTAACTGGAATGGGTTTATTCAACAAATAACAATAATAAACCGGTAACGCCATTTCAGCAGTTATTGTCACATGATACTGCTGATCAGGTTTCAAAGATGTCTAGAAGAAAATCATCGTTACTCATTTCAAATTAAAGTCATTGATATTTTTTTCCTACATTTATTTAATTGTAAATTATACAGCAATAAGTACCTACGTTATTGATTTGAAAGGTCACAAGCCTTTATTTAAATTAATTAATTACTCAATATTTACGTAAGTTGAATAAATCAAGGGTATCTAAAATTCTTTGTATTGTTATCGGGAATGAATGTATTTTACAATACATTTTTTAAAGTAATACGTATCCAAAAGCATCTATCTCTTTCTCTCTCCTTCTCAACCAATTCTCCTCTTATTTTCCTAATACTATCCACTTTCTATCCTCCTTTAGACATCAGTCTAATTAAGTTTTTGGTTATCAGCTACTCTTATACTATTTATGTACAAATGACTCTTAAATATATTTAAAATATTTAATTCATTTCCCGATTTAGTACTTTATATGTTCAGTGAATCATAGCAAATATTATTTCTGGGAGCTACCATTGCTAATAGTTTCCGTTGCACTAAACTGGATTAGGAATTACCATCCTTATTGTTATAACAATAGTGCCCAAAATAGCTCACGTTTATTCAAATAAGTTTATTTAATTTAAAACCACATGTTCAGATTTCTAAGAGTACAACGTACAAGTTAATATGAGATATATTTTTAATATCCATCTATACATATGAATAAAATCAGAGTGTCTGTATGTAATAAATGCTGATAACAAAGAAACTATTTTTAAAACTTTTCTGTCTGTGATAAAATAAAAATTCCGATATCTTGAAATTTATTTCGTATGTTTCGTAATGAAGTTGAATGCTCGATCCTTTTCCAAATTTGGAAACTCCCGATCGACGCCACATTGGTCAATGACATGTTTGCACTTGTGTTATATTTTATTAATTTATCAAGTAACAAAAATTCTCTATTTTCGATTTAAATAACAAATTGAAAGCTAATCCTCTTAAGCAATGCAAACTCATAGGTATTCGTATTTCATACACGCGTCGCCGATATTTTGTTCTTTGGTCGCCGAAGTCACTCTCTCATTACCTGTTTGTAAAAACGTATTGCGAAAAAGTCGTCGTGATTTTGAAAAGGTGGGTAAAAAACCCAGATGAAATTTTGTAAATTCGAGTAAGTAGTAACGTCGCTATACGTGTACGGACCGAATAGACGACTCATGTCTACGATTCAATGTTGTATCGCGCATTAGTATTTGAGATTTGCATACCCTTGTACGAAGGTCTTTACTGTTTCTTTTCCGTAGGAGTTTTGTATAAACATATAAGTTTAATTAATTAAAAATTACAATAAGGATAATAGGATTATTTTAAATAGTATGATTAAGGATTAAAAATATTTATAGGTACGTAATGATTTTGTTTCTGTACGCATGTCAATGATTACAGTTACCGAAGGTGAGTACAGAGCGAGTGTATGTACGGAAGTTATACTACATCATTACAGACGATTACGAAGACAATCGTTTATCCCGGACCGTCTCAAATCAATTAGATTACATGTTTATAAACGTTATATCGCGGCCTTACCAATACAACCATTGTCATTTCTACTTTGGGTGACATTTTCTTTTAACAGCTAAGTAAAATTATTGTTACCCTAAACGACCAATATTGTGAACCTACTAAGTTAATTGCAAATGTTTTATGTAGAACAAAATTAAGAACTTTAGTTTTTTATCAGGTCTTTTCTTAGCCTTCTTAAAGACATATCAAAAAGGGTTATTTGATTCTTTTGACATATCGCTTGTTTGATTGAAACAACAAAACAAGTATAAGGCCGGCTACAAGGGTTGCGCGTGTCGGCGTTGCCGCGGGGGCGCAATCAATTAGCAAGCCTCCGCCGAGCACTTCCGCTTCCGAGCGTTTAGGGACTTCCGGTCGGGGCGGGAGACCGCTTGTTCCGTTCCTAATCACACCGGTGTGAAATACGTCACCGGTGCGGTTTCCCCGTTTTAGATTTATCGGGTTGTTTTACTTGTTTTTTATATTGTTTGCTGTTGATTAACATTGTTGAGTAAATTATTTAATTTACTCAACTCTTTTTTAACTATGTTAAGTCTTTTAAAGTTTTTATTTGCTTTTCTAAAGACACTACTAAGCCTAAACTTTTAAGATCTTTATGTAAGATTTCTTAAGTTAACAGATGTTCAAGCTTTAAAAATATGATGAGACTGATTGTAAATTTATTTAATTTAAACAATTTTTATAATAAAATCTGTTATAATTAGCAATGGAATTCTCCGATGATGTTGACCTCAATTACGTCGCAAAATATTTGCACCTTTGTATCATGAATTGCATTGGATTCTTATCATGAAAGAATAGATTTTTATTATTATAACAAAAACATGCGTGAATCACATATTTTACATTTGTCCTCACCATTTCCATATCATGCTTTTGCAATGCTTTTGTACAAATATTTCTCGTATAAAGAAATATTTTGACACAACTAGTAATAGATAATATCGTAAATATTGTTCTAAAATACATATAATAAACACGCAAAAAAAACTTTTTCATATATGGTAAACCCAGGCGACTCTTGTTATTCCTCCACAAATGAATAAATTCGAAATAAAACATTGAATAAATCGATTCTTAAATTATTCAAACTTTCGTGTGACATTATACTAAACTGATATAAAAACGGCTAAACACTGACGTATATTCGTCCGGTGGCGGCACCGACTAGTTTCGAGCCCATCGGGGGCGCTTCTTCAGGATTAGTGGTACTGGTATCATTTCGCGGACGCGGCCCATATAATAAAACCAGTACCACTAATCCTGATGAAGGGCCCCCGATTGGCTCGAAACTAGTCGGTGCCGCCATCGGACGAATATACGTCAGTGTTTAGCCGTTTTTATATCAGATCGTTTCTTTTTTTTGTAACCGAAATTATATCAAGTTAACATATTGCCTAAGAACTGCCTTGAGATTATAAATCATGAGGCCTATACTTGTTATTCATAAGACCAGTAATCGTGGGTTACTGAGACTAAAATTTCCGTTTAAAACATATTATATCTGTTTCGTCAAAGATAATGACAGGGTTGACGATATGATTTCTACTGATACTTTGATGATAACTTTTGCCCGCGACTTTCATGTGTAATTTAAAAAAAATTAGTACGTATCCTATGTGTTCTTCCAGACTATTTTCTACATATGTGCCATTCCGGAGATACCGTGTAAAAACCATCCATCCATTTAAACATTCGCATTTATAATATTAGTAATATAGTGAGATGGTCTCAGAAACCCATTGAGAGTCGATAAAATAAATAAGTTATAATTTTACAATGTCACTAAAATAAAAACTTTAGTGTTAATCAAATACTCCAAGGATATCAACTAAATAACACTTATCTGTTGGTACGATATGATATACTAATCAGTCGCAACTGCCAACCGATGCCCACTTCTAATTTAATTAATCAGTTATTATCATTATGATAGTAATTTTTATTACTATAACTAAAACAAAACCATATTACAATGTTCTATGTGAATCGTTAAAGATATTTCTTATGTTTTTTGAAAACTTTAAACTTCTCTTTTCGAGCTATCGGACGGGCTATAAAATCTAAACTTCCATATTGATTTAATATGTTATACAATTTAATGATCAAATACACTCGAAATGAAAATATATTACAGTGATCATAATGAAAAAGGCGTTATTAAACTTTATTCACTAATGGGTTAAAAAGCCATTTTAAATATTAAAAAAAAAGTTTATAAAGAATTGACATCCTGCTTACGTAATCAATAGCAGTTCAATGTATGTCCTAACCCAGTAAAATATTTATATATTTAAATTAATTCATTTAAATATATTACTAAAAAGTGTATAAGCTGTAGATAACATACATTTGTGATAAAAATTCTATATAGATTTTAGACAAGCAAAGCACACAATAATATGTTGACCCCCCAGACAGTTATCGGGTCACACGCGACGTGAACGTATGGTTTTTTGTCCTTTCAGACGACACGCTGTCGCTACCCAGAGCATATACGAACAAAAGCTTAAAAAAACTAGATTCATGTGTTCCCAAAGCAACCAATCCCTTCATAAACAGCTGAGATATGATAACGTTCCATGACGTGTTTATATCTCAAACGAATAGAGTTACATCTCTTATGAGATCTCAAGAAATGTGACTCTGAAACGAAAGTTCCATACGTTCCGTTTTATTGTTCTCTTACACTGATATCTGTAAGGTCTTTTGTTTTTTAATTATTAAAAAAAATCTCGCCCGACTATTACGCTGTTCGGTAAAATAAGAATCCAAAGAACTTCACTACAAAATATAGGTCAGGCCATTTAGGTTACAGGTAAAAAAACATAAAAGAAATAAATATGTTTAAAAATAATATAATATTATGAGTAAAAGTTTGCACTAACCTGGTGCTAAATTTCCTCTCGGTTTTGCGCCTAATATCGCGAGGTTTACGTTGGCTTTCCTCCCGTCTATGATGGGGTTTGGATCCTTGCATGCTCTCTCCGCTGCCGCGCGGTCTCCCATTATTACCTGGAATTATAACAGACACGTTATTACAAGATTACATACATACTTATCTTACTAATATTATAATGGTCATTGGGTAATCAATATATCTATTGATTATATTTAATACATTGTTACGAACATACTTCGCCGCCGCGTCGGGTCGACACCTCACCCGACGCAGCCAACCAGTGTAATTTGCCCTTTGCCAGCAAAAAAAAACAAAGGTGTTTATAAAACGGCTAATTTACATTGTAAAAATATAGACCGACAAAGTTATCTGACCCGGTAGGTGTAAGTTTGAATTGAATTATAACAGCACACTAGCGCCCCTCAGTCAATAACAATAAGTGTCACAAAATCATTTACGTACTGTAGTTGTCTTGTCAGTTTCTTTTATGATATTTTCTATGCCAAATCGTGAGTTTCTGAGACTACTCCCCATTTAAAATATATAATTATTTCTGCTTTATTTTTCAAATACAGGGATGACGTTAAGTTTAATATAGAGATTCTCGTCTGAGAAAACAACTGTAAGTAGGTTTTATATTTTTTGACAGAAATAACCGCGAAAGCAGCACGTCTCTTACCAGACTAAATAATATGTGAGTATATATATATATATATATATATATATATTATACTTATATACTCAAAGTATATAAGTTCGTCACAATTAATGTAAGTCATTCAAAAAATGTATTTTAAAACGTTTAATTCCATGATAAACAAAATGTTTTAAAACTCTTACAAATGTTGGATAACATTTTTACATAAAATATTAGATAAGATATTTTTCTGCCATTTATATTTAATTACCCCTAGTTTATTTCATATTTTTCTAAACATAGTAATGTGCATATCAGAAAAATGGAATCATAAGTTTTTATGCAAATGTTTCAACGATATAAAAATACACATTAACCGGTTTTGTAATTTCTTAATTATTTTAATTATTATCACAAACGAGTTATTTAAGTATAAAGCATATTAAAAATAAATAAAAGGAATAACATTAACAAATCATCATTTAATTGTTTAAAATTAAATTATTGTATAAATAATATTGTCATTATCATTAAAAACGTATGATTGATTAAAAGCATGTATGGTTGATTGATTTGTATGGATTTTTGTATGGGTTGAAATTCTGTCGATTGCAGTTTACAGTACGTTGTCGAAGTTAGTTACGGATGGTGATAAGCGCGCTATCGTCTGAAAAGGCCTGTTAGTAGGTTAGTTGCGTTTATTTTACATTAACGACTTTCCCTTTCCTCATGCGTTGGAAAATGCTTGTTATTTCTAGGGTTGTCCCAAGTAATTTGGATATTGCAACGAATGACTGAGAGACTGTCGAAAGGTTATACAAGCCATCCCTCTCATTACCTTTGACAAAACTGAGATAGCAATATTCATAAACGATTTTTTGATCATGTCAATCAATTCACATTTACATCTTATGAATTATTACTTCATAATAAGTTTTTCCTCATTGATAAATTATGAAGCTATTCAATTGATTTTCATGAATATGCAAGCTTTATATTAGTAGTGTTACTAAAGATATATATTTATTTTAAACAAATAAAATACTGCAATTCATCGAATTGATGCTGCGAAGTTTTTCGGTTCCATTACAGATATATTTCATCATAGATTCATAGTCTCTTTAAGATGTTCGATAGCAGTGCAGTTGCGACTTGCATCTCACCCCCGCGCTTGTCCTGTGCCCTTCAAATGCCGCCCCTCGTTTTGCACCTAGGGCTGTTAACATCGGCCGAACATAACCAAACTGGCGGCGAAAAAAATACGATCAGTAACATTACTTACTGTCATGCGACAAAAGAATAACTTCTTGTGACGTTTTTTCCTATTTAACACTTTTACCAGAAGACATAGATGTTGAACCCGTAGCAAAAATATGCACTATACAAACAAAAAATCCAGTAAAATTTGAAGAGTTGGCAACCCTATTCGCACCCCTAGTCATTGCTTAATTCGCCTACACTACATTTTGCGAACCGTCGTTGGGGTACGTTCTGCGAAACGACGCCACGCTATTCATCTTTCGTGAACTATAGCTGAGAAATATTGAAATTCTCGACAAAGTATAAGATAGAATGTTATTAAGCAAAACTTTATAACAATCGTTGGCGAACAAAACAATAGCGTGGAAATAAAATATGTGTATACAGAATTATTATTTACTTTTTTTTTTGATTTAAAAATGAAAATATGATGAGTAATAAAAGAAAACCATTTATGTGCGCATCACAATATAACAATAACATTATTCAAATTGTCTAAAATATTAATCGAACAATAGCGTGTCAAAATCTAAAGTAACTTTAGTACATCGATATATAATTAGTGAGAGGTTAATAGCAATTTTAATCAACCATTGTATCGATTCAACGAGAAATTTCATTACATAAATCTATACTTAGTTCATGTCCATAAATATTCCATAGTAACAATTTCATTAGACATGACCTTGAAAAACTTAGTTTCTTTTGTTTTTATTAAAACTAGATATATTACAATTCTCAAACAAATAACCTCTTCAATATAGACGTGTTTATTTATTTCGTAATATAAATATACACGAATATCAGTTTGTATGGGATGAAAACTGCGTAATAAAAATCTACTACGACGCTTTTGAGGGTTTTGTACACCCTTGCATTTGCTCATATTACTGCGCAGTTTTGTTACGCTGCACATTTACAATTTTAGGATGCGTTTTCACTGATTCAAAAGATCACATGGTCTCAAATGTTTATGTTGCTTGTTAATGGAAACCCACATTGTTTAATAGGATTACAAGACTTTACTTTAATTCAACTGTTTATAGAATAGAATCGTATATAAAGCCAAATTCGACATTAATGTAAGCAATGTATTGGTACTCTCCTGAACTAAACTGTTTACAATCTGCAATAAAGATTGTATTTTATCCAGTAATCTTACTAATATTATAAATGCGAATGTTTAGTTGGATGGATGTTTGTTAGAAGGTATCTCCAGAACGGCAGTATGGATCTCACTAAAATTTGGCAATTATGTTTTTTTTGTATGCGCGGGCACAGTCGCGGGCGTCGTCTAGTAAAAGCATAAAGTTATAATCCTTCTAGTATAAACACTTACGAAATCTACAAGTAAGTCATTTAAACAGAAAAGCTGTGTACACAATTCTCGTTTGGCACAACTCTACTTTAAATAAAGAGAAATGACGTCTTTACGTTATAAATAATCACCTTGTCACTATGAAATTTCATTAAAATTATACATAAATAATTATTTTTACGGACATCTATACTCAAATTAATCTATTTCTACTAGTAATTATGCAAAATGAAACAAAATTTAAACAAGACCTTGACGGACAAAAACGATTCCCTCCTAGGAATTATTATATAGCTTATTAGCTTTTGACCCCACTGTACCTGAAATTCGAACTGAGAGCCTCTTGTGCTAATGTAAAAATATAAGTTACATTATACTACGATTAAAAGAAAATATGCATTATTGAAAACATTCAATGATTAAACACCTTTGAAGAAACATTGCATTTGGCTACGCCTCTGTGACTAAAGTCTTGAAATATTTAAATCAATTGTAACGATCAAAGTAAACACATAAAGCTGAATATTAATAACAACGATTGCACTCTAGGAAATTTCAGAAATTGATTTAAATGTTCAACATAAAATAGATATTTGTAGTGCTTTTAGTAGTACCAAGACTTTTGGAATGCAAATCTTCAAATTTAACTGATATATAAACACGGCTAAACACTCATGTATATTCGTCCGGTGGCGGCACCGACTAGTTTCGAGCCCATCGGGGCCCTTCATCAGGATGAGTGGTACTCGTATTATTTCGCGGACGCGACCGGACGAATATACATGAGTGTTTAGCCGTGTTTATATATCAGTTTAGTACAATGTCTCACGAAAGTTTGAATAATTTAACATCTTCGAATTGATTCAAATTTGCGCAGTCATTTGTTTTGTTCTTCCTCATTTAAAAATTTAAAATCTCGTCGTAAGATACAGAAACATATTGCTATCCCTGTTACGCACTATCCCACTGACTTTGAAAAACAGAGATGGGAATATTTTTTTTGTAAATATGTATCGGCAGTGGGTACCCATTGTTAGATGACACGTTACCCCCTGACCGTTCGGAGATCAAAATATATCATATCGTCATCCTTGTCATTATCTTTGACAAAACATGAGACAATAATATATTTTAAACCGGGATTTTTGTTCTCAGAAACCCACCGTCATTCGGGCAAGTTTTAACATCAATTTAACATCGATAATTCCGTGTTGTGTGCACAGCTGGTGATACATCAGTGAAACAATTCCACTCGACGTTATTTGAGCTACGTAAACTATTAAATTGTTGTTAACGTACTAAAACTGCGTTCCGCCATTCCTGTTTAATAGGATAGCAAATGAAAAATTTTGGTGTTTACTGACGTCTAGGCTATACAGGCCAAATACCTAGAACTACTTATTTGTTAGTTGTGAATTTACTTAATTTCAATTAAAACAACGAACGAACACAACGAATAGAATTATTAGTATTAACATAATCAAAAAAACATATCGTCCTACTCAGGGGTACAAATATTATTAACTTCTTGTCTTGTAAAACATTGCTATAGACAATGTCCCATATTAGTCATATAATTTTCTCTTATATCTTTGAATAAAGATGCAAGAATTAACATCTGCCTTTCCAATTAGCTTATAAAAGGTCAATAAATATAATCGAACATTTTATTTACTTTTATATTAACATAGCGTATCTCTTTATGAATAGTATGTAAGATAAATATTGTTTACAAATGATCTGTGAATGAATTCATCTCGTCTGCTATCTACGCCGTAGCGCGTAGCGGAGGCGGTCTCTGTACTGTTACGCCCAACTGTTACTTGCAAATCGCCACGCCTCAACGTATACCTATTATTATAGCAAGTAATTAATAATTGACCTCATTGTAAGTTTATCCAAACTTACTGTTTAGCTGCAGCAATCAGTGGTCAAGTCCCCCTTTACGATTTTTGTATGTGAAATCTACCTGTACGAGAGTTTGTATTTTACTCCAGACTTTATTAAGGTAATGGATACAGTTTGGAATCTAAAATAGAATATAGAACTACGACCTGGATTCATGAATCATGGACCTCATTACACGTGACTAGGGTTAAAGAATTCTAAAATACTTTTGTTATTTGGATACGACTTGAACATGTGTCCTTTACTCCATGTGATAAATCGCTTGAAATCTAACATTTTTTCTAAAAAAAACCTCATAAAATGTTCAAGCATAGACTTATGCATTTTACACAATGGACGTAGACTTTAGTGGTTGGTACTAGAAGGGTCTATTATGTACGCGCCCGTACTGTATCGGATGACGTCCTATTGTCTATAACAAGTCCTTTAGCACAAACCACGTACCAGTGTAATATACAACAGACGCTTAGAATAAAATAAAGATTAAAAAGTATTGAAACAAAAATTGGCATCCATTGGTGAATTGCACAATATTCCGGGCCATAGACGATGCACTACGATTATAAGCTATTTGGATGTGACACGAGGGTGCATTGGGACATGTACCCTCCCCAAACGGACCCTACCCCAACTGAATTGAAAATGGGGTTGTGATTCATTTCCCACGAACCCCGCGTGCAATACTCAAAAGCCTCAAACTTTATTACGTTTCAGAAACTAGTATTAATATAATTTTAAAGTAAGGCTCAGCGAATCTCCGGATCGAGTGTTAACGTGAAATCCCCGCGAAGGTTGCAGCCATACGATTAAAGCCGTAATCTCTCCGCTTCAGTGGTAATTCATTCTTAACACTGCGATGTCGCATGACGACCCATAATTGGATTGATAACCAACAAACGACACTTCATAATGTTAACAATGAAACTGTGTACAGTCAAGCAAATAATTCATAATAGAAATTGTTATAACGCAATTGTTTACATTATTTATATTAAAATACGTAGTTGCCAAAGTCATTGAGTTCTCAGGGAAAGATTGGCAAGCACTACTGTGTCGATTAGGCTCCACTTCCGTGTCGATGTAATTTTACGATATGACTTATGTGTACACATACAATACTACATTTATGCTTAACTTAGTGCTTACACTGACTGTAGGTAGCGGTGGCGGCGAGGTGCGATAAGGTGCGATAGTGCGACTGTTTCAGCGCCAACTCGACGCGAATGTGCACGGGCATTACGTGTCCATTTGATGTTTAAGAAAGTCCTATATTGTATATATTCCACACCTATAACTATTTTATAGAAAAATAAAAAAAATCTCACGAATCCATATCCTCTGCTTTTACTCGTCTGCCTGTCTGTGATGACCACCGCCTCCTCGATGTCTCCGTAAACCGCGAAGTGTTCCCGCAGGCTCTTGTCGGTCGTGTGGTAAGGCAGGCCACCGACGAATAGCTTAGTCCATGTGGTGTCCTTTTGTCCGGGCAGCGCGCCTAACGCCAGCAGCCCCTCGGGCTCGGCCGGCAGAGCGCCCGCCATCAGCATACCTTGCACCGCCTCCGTCGCGTCGGCCTTACACTGCAACACTGTCACGCTGATCGCTGACGCTGCGGGAGCGGATCAGTATACGATAATTTTATGTTTGCGTGAACGCTTTGTGCGGAGTGACGAGCGTTCGTTGCGGTGGTCGCGCGCCTACTGATGTGATGCTAGTGTCGGTCGGGAGCGCACGTGGCGCACGGGTACTAATTTTAGCCCCCGCGCCCCGCTCCTCACGCCCCGTACCCCAGGGCCGCCCCCCGCGCCGGCCGCCAGATGCCCGCGCGGCCGCCTGCCGCCGCCCGCCGCCCGCCGCCTGCCGCCTGCTACCCTCCGTCTCCGATACTTGCGTAATGATACGCCTCGTTATCACCGCCGCCGACGCCGCCGCCGTTTGTTTGCTGTTAAATTGAAGAACTGAGGACGTAAGGCGTTCTCGCTTATACTATTAAATTCACCCTTAACTTTTGCACATTTTACCTTGTTTAAGTAGTGAACAAAATTGAATCCGTAGATTTACAATGGGATGCAGAATCCAATTAGAAATGGGTATGAAATACAACGAAAGGCTTTGATCGAAGATAAAAAGCTTTCCGTTCTTTTGCCTTTTCTTGACATGGTCCATCCTTGGCCCTCAAGTTTATCTTCACGTATGGTCTTCCCAGAGACACATTCAGTACGCACCGACTGAGCAGCGACGCCTAACTGCATTTGCAAAAGAATCTTTCTATCAACAACCGGCTGACTCATTAAACTGGGGGCAATGGTGTTTACTTGTATAAGACAATGTACGAGTGCCCGACTCCTCCTGCAATAGCAATAGCATTGACTGGGTTCTTAGTCCCTAGAACTTTACACTCAGTGCTACTGTTCTGTGGCATTTCACTTATTAAACAAAATACGGAAATAAAACGACACGAATGCAAACGACATTCTGTAAGATCTTAATTACTTCTCTAGTTGGAGTCAAATTGTGTTTATAGTTGTTTTATATAAAGAATAGAGAACATACTATTTCTATTAGAAATATAATCCGAACTGTAATTATAAAAGTCCTTGAAATCCCTACTTTCAGTAGTTAATACCACTGCTTCTAACTATTCTATTTATTTAAATT